ACATGCTGACTGAATGTATAGCAGTGAATTTATTCTTCTATGTGAGATAAATAAGAGTTAAGTTGCAATAACTGATAACAATCATATTTTAATCTTCAGAGTAGGGAAATTTGAGATACCAGAATCTCACACTGAAAACATGAGACAAATCGGCCAGGTGCAAAAATCAACTTCACACTTAAAATAAGAAAGAGGAAGTGTGTGGGTTGCAGTGATTTATGGAATTTTCATCTTTGATATACTTTTCATGAGTGTCTGTGTGTGTTTTCGCAGCTGCTTACAGGAACCTTGGGCAGAATCTGTGGGGCCCCCATCGCTATGGATGTCTCGATGATGTCCAGGTTAGCTGTGTGGTGTCTGGACCCTGTGCTGCCCACAGTCTCATCATCACCACAGAGGGCAAACTCTGGAGCTGGGGTAAGTGTCCACACAAGAACAGTCTTTCCTGTTTTAAATTAGGATTTTAACCCGGCCCTCATAAATGCCACATCATGAGGAGTAACATAAAACGCTGGCAACCCATTGACACTAAAGACACAAAGATGTGTCTAGAAATGTACTTTTTAAAAATGTTTAACTTTTTTTAGACAACCGTTCAAAAAGTGTTTTTTTGTGTGTGTGTGTAATAAGTGTCTTATGCTCACTAAGGCTGGATTTATATGATCAAAAATACCATAATAATAATATCTTGGTATATTACAATTTAAAATATTTTTTATTCTAATATATTATAATATATTACGTTCAACATAAGTGCAATTTATTCCTGTGATAGCAAAGCTGAATTTTCAGAAGCCATTGATTTGCTGTTCAAGAAACATCCATCTATATATCTATCTATCTGTGTGTTTGTGTGTAAGTAATATAGTACGTCAATGGTGATAAATTTTATGCATCCTTGCTGAATAACAATAAGAATAACAATTCATTACTTAAAAAAAAATGACCCCAACCGTGTGTGTGTGTGTGTGTGTGTATATATATATATATACTTTAAAGATATGAATTTCTGCCTCTGGTCCTTCTCAGGTCGTAATGAAAAAGGGCAGTTGGGTCATGGAGACACTAAACGATTGGAGGCTCCGAAGCTAGTTGAGGGCCTGGGGGAGGAAGTGATTGTAGCAGCTGCTTGTGGTAGAAACCACACCATGGCTTTAACAGGTAGGCAAACTTTTGCGAAATGCGGTATGTTGGTCATATAATTGCCATAATTATAATTGCGTTGTTATAATAATATAACTGCAAATGTGGTGTTCTTATGCTTTGTCTCACAGAAAATGGTACTATCTACTCCTTCGGAGAAAACAAACTGGGGCAGCTAGGTCAGGGCAATCAGACAGATCCTGTGCTCAGCCCTGAGCTGCATTTGAATGAAACGAGAGCGCGCGTCCGTGCCTCTGCGGTGATACAAGAGACATGCGGTGAATTCCAAACAGAAGTGAGCATCCCTATGCCCTACTCCCTTCGAAGGGCAGAGCCCTTGAAGTGTGTTCTTTGAAGGGTGCAGGGTATTACTGTCTCGTATAAGCGTTTGAAACTCCCTTGGCGAAGGGAATGACTGACCAAATGTTACCTTGACAACGCTGCGCGTGCGTGCAGCATTCAGTACTCCATCAGTGGTTGCAAATAAATATTTATAAATATGGTGTCTTACATTAAAATAGACAAATGTAATTTTCTATTAAAAGACTTTGCTTTAAAAAAACATCACAAGATCTCCTAACCAAAGATCACATGATCTTCAAGTGATTTATTATTATAATTATTAGGGCTTCATGTTAATGTTTATGCTAAAAAAAAAGTGCATATAGCTGCTAATTGTTTGATTTTCAAATATAAAACTTATTGAAATGTTTTCAGTGTGTGTATCAGTTCTTTTTGAATGTTTTCATCTAATTTGAACAAAACCGTGATAATATTGATAATCGTGATATGAAATTTTCATACCGTTACATCCCTAATAAATATATATATATATCTTTGGTTTTGATCAAATAAATTAAGCCTTGCTGAGCATAAAAGGCTTCCTTCAATAGTGTAAGATGGCAAGTTTCTCATATTTAAATTTTGCATTTTTAGGGGTATGGTGACAACAAACCCAAGTCATCCACCACTGCTCAAGAGGTCAAAACTCTGGATGGCGTGTACTCAGAACAGGTGAGTTCTGCTGTCAAAAGCGTGAATCATATCCTCCCAGAATTCTGTTCTATGTGATATAATCGTATGGCTATGCAACTAAATACTTTGTCATTTCAGGTGGTGATGGGCTATTCTCACTCCCTGGTTATTGCTCGGCAAGACACAGAGCAGGAGAAAGAAAAGCTCAAGAAGCTTCCCGAATACAACCCGCGCACACTCTGATTGGACACCATTCACATTTTCTCCAGGGGCTTTTTTAAGGAATGCCTCTGCTCACTAGGTCATCTGGGTAATCACAGTTTGGTTGGGATGTGATTTTATTTTTCCTTTATTTTTGGACATCATATTGCATTTTTGAAAGACAAGCCACATGTCAGATAAAAGTATTAGAGAAGTTGCATTAACTGATCTGTCTAGGCTTGGGCGTTTCAGAATGGTAATTGTGGCATCACATGTCTGTTTTATTTTCACAATAGAGCCAGCAACTACTCCGAGCACTCGGACTCCACTGGATCCATCCTCTTTACTTATACATTCCTAATGGAAGTATATCAGATTGTTTTGTTTATTTTTCCATAACAATGACTGTGAGATCCATGTCTGCTCTCTTCCAAAAACTGGTGCTAAATCATTCTAATGCAGACTATCAATGGGCTAATGGTTAACTAAAAGACAAACTCACTCCATTCTTGTGCCTTTTTAAGTGAGACTATTCAGGCTGAGGAAGTTCAGTTGGTCCTATGACAATTCAAGTGTTATGGGGCACTTCATCTTTTAAACATCACTTTCATTACTTCCAGCTCCATGTTATCATCACCATACATAAGAACATCATTTTCCTCAAGACCACGTAGCTAATATGTAAGCTTTTTTTCCCTTTCCGTCTTAAGATACAGACTCCTGTTAATCTGATCAGGGAAGTATTATCAACTCCTGCAATGCAAATGAGACATCAGCTGTGAGATTTCTATTAAATTCATTCTCCCTTTTATAGAAATGTAAATCCTTAATGTTTGTGCCCTTGCTAGTATTGTTAACTACAGAAATGCTGTTCTCATGTGTTGATGTTAGCATGTTTTTGAAATAATGGACTTGATGTTGAGAAGAGTAGGATTGTCCCATCATCTGGGACCACAATGTCTTTACAGAGCATCATTTCATGCAATATGTTGAATACTGTGCCATTTCTTTGTGTTCACCTGGGCTTAAACTGTGATCACATTTATGTTTCATATTCTGTTTGTAAGTCCATGCAAGAATCCATCCAGTTTGTGGACGAGCAACAAGCTGATGTGTTTTATGTTCTATAATTTTAAATAGTGTACTCGCATGAAATGTGTTCATTTGTTTAGGCAATATATGTCCAGGAACTGGAATTCCTATTCCTATTCTGAATTCTATTTTTTTTTCTTTCTTAATATTAAATAAAGGTTCATGTAAGTTGGTATATGTTGATTCAGTTTTATTTTTACCCGTGCACATGCTCCGTTTTTATCCTTCAAGTTAGCGGAACAGTGTGCTGTTATCTTAGTTGCCATTAAGTAAAAATTCACCCTATTTTCCAAATGCCTGTTGCAGGTGTTGTGAACAATTAATCTGTGCATGTTTCATTTAAAAGACTTTTTGATTCAACATTAAAAATATCAGAACTGGACCTTTTAGAAAAAACAACAGATTTTTGTTTTCTCTCTGGTGAAGTACGAGGACTCAAATTCCCACAGCTCAAAATTCAAACTGATGCATAAAACCAAATCCGTTTGAACTAAAAAATTATTGTTTTCTAATAATGTTACACTCAGACGTACATCATAATATATGTTCTATAATTTTAAATAGTGTACTCACATGAAATGTGTTCATTTGTTTAGGCAATATATGTCCAGGAACTGGAATTCCAATTCCTATTCTGAATTCTATTTTTTTTTTTTTTCTTAATATTAAATAAAGGTTCATGTAAGTTGGTATATGTTGATTCAGTTTTATTTTTACCCGTGCACATGCTCCGTTTTTATCCTTCAAGTTAGCAGAACAGTGTGCTGTTATCTTAGTTGCCATTAAGTAAAAATTCACCCTATTTTCCAAATGCCTGTTGCAGGTGTTGTGAACAATTAATCTGTGCATGTTTCATTTAAAAGACTTTTTGATTCAACATTAAAAATATCAGAACTGGACCTTTTAGAAAAAACAACAGATTTTTGTTTTCTCTCTGGTGAAGTACGAGGACTCAAATTCCCACAGCTCAAAATTCAAACTGATGCATAAAACCAAATCCGTTTGAACTAAAAAATTATTGTTTTCTAATAATGTTACACTCAGACGTACATCATAATATATAAAAAAAGATCTTATGCCACTTCATTATTGTGGTAGATTAATATGAATAAATAGGTGCGTGTTTAACATCGAAACATCAATGATAAAGAACTACATCTGGATACATAAAATGTAGTCATATATGAATTTATTTAAAGAAGCAAAAAAAAAATCAAGATTTTAATCCTCATCCTCCTCTTCTTCCTCATCCTGGTTGATCTGAAAGTAGCGAAGCTCGTAGCTTTCTTTCGTGTTAGCCACAACACGCAACCAGTCTCTGAGATTGTTCTTCTTTAAGTATTTCTTTGTAAGGTATTTCAGGTACCTGCAGAAAAGATGAGAACAGTGGAATAAAATGTAAAAAGTTGCGGTTAAAAATAAACTTGGCAAAAACAAAGACGAGATGTATCAAAACACACACCTCTTGGAGAAGGGCACTTCAGAAGAAACTGTGATTTTGCTCTTGTTTCTTTCAATGGTGACCACTCCACCTCCCAGGTTTCCTGCTTTACCGTTGACTTTGATGCGCTCCTGTAGGAACTGCTCCTGTATCCACACACGCAAATGACAAGTCATAAACTCGGCTAGCGATTATCTGACTTCTACAGTATAATAAACATCGTTTTACATAATAAGGACTTGATCTAGTTACAAAGTTTGAAGCATCCATAATGCCATCTTCAACGGGATGCGTGCAGTCCAGCGTGAACTTCAGGACCTGCTTCTTCTTCTTCTTTCCACCTTTATAGCTCTGCTGCTTCTTCTGCAATTAAATACAAGAAAATGTATACTCTCAGTCTTGTGTCTATAACAGTCCTGTCATTATCATTAGAATAACAAAATCGTTAGTAGAAATGTTGCGCGCAAGATTGAATCAAGTTCTCTGTTAATTTGGCTGCACGGGGTTCATTCAATGATACATAACGATTGCTTTACGTACTGGGCTATTACTAGACTTATTTTGTGAAAGCGATTGTGTTTATTACGCAATCTCGAATGATGTGTATACATGATAATGAATGGAAACGTCTGTTATTTTATTAACTAGGTCCGTATGTTCAAACTTACAACCGGCGCCATAGCTAGAGATTTCTTCGAAAGGAAGAACCACGACTGCGCGAGCGTGACGTCGCAGACTGTTTAATCTAGCGCTGAGGTAATCGATGTGTTCGATTAGTCTGTTGTTGAATATAATAATGGACGGTTAATCCAATAATAATAATAACGTACTCTGTTTACGATTTGACCATACAAAATTGTTTCCCATGGAACACAAAAGGAGACGTTTGAATAATGTTAATCTGACCAAAACTTGTGACCCACAGAAGATAGTCATTTCTTGACGAATTTGGAATGATTAGAGGATGAGGAAATGATGACAGAAATGTCATGTTCCAGAGATATCCTATTAAATGTGGACAGGCGTTTAAGTGTTGATCTTTTGTAGAAAATGACCCACAAACTTCTATTTTTACACGTATATGAAAAGGTCTAATGAACTAATGTTTTGAGTGACGCCATTATTCTGATATGACATGTTAGTGTAAGCAAAGGTATACTGTGTGATTTATTTTTAGCTGCCTGGGCTCTGCTTTTGACAGACAATGGCATCTGGTTTGTGTTGTATAATCAGGGTCTGAGTATTCTGGCCCCAACATATCACACCCCCTCAGACAGCACACACAGGAGTGTCAATTGATTGTTTGTTGTTGAAGTCATATCCTGCATCTAGGAACCCTCAGAGAACATTCACACAGCATTCACTCCATGCAGCAGAAGCACTCGGACAGGACAAGGTATTCAGATATTCATTATTTGTGAATTAAATATGTATATTTATTCTTTCCGTATCTTTTAGGTTGTATCTATTCAAGTGACCTTTATGTTGCTTCGGAGCGTATGGCCTCATTCAGAGGCTTGTTTCTGGTTTATAGCTTCAATAACGAGTAGCCTACTAACCTTGGATCTCAAAGAACTTTTTAAATATATTTTCTGATTCAAGGAGAGCCCAAGGACACCAAGCATGCTTAGAATCATATTTATGATAGATATACTGTATAAATGTACAATGTGTAAATGTGTTCACGCATATACTATATCAGAATATCTGAAGGTCTTCTCAGATGTCTGGAGAGATCTTTTCCCCTCTGGATAATCTCTATGACCTGGACAGTGCCAACTGCCATCCTCTGGTGTGCCATTTGTGCCAAGAACAGTATGAGCATCCATGTTTACTGAACTGTTACCACACGTTCTGTGCCAGCTGCCTGCGTGGAAAGGCTGTGGACAGCCGACTGACTTGCCCTCTCTGTGGGTAAGATTTTACCTTATTTAATCCTTAATCACCTTATTCTGACAATTCACACAAAAAATATTCATAAGTATGCATTATTATTAATGCATTAAGCATACGTATCAAAATTAACAAGGTAATTGCAACTTTTTATATCACAATTTGGACTTTTCTCTTGCAATTGCAAGTTCTCAGAATTGTGATTGACTCAGAATTGTGAAATATAAACTCTTTGAAATATACATTCTGAGTTTATATCTAACCGTTTTGACTTTTTTCTAGCAATTCTGTGAAAAAAAATCATAATTGTTATATATAAAAAAATTCATAATTGTAAGATAAAAAGTTGCAGTTACTTTATTCCATGGCGGAAATGGGCATTCATACTTATGACGTATGCATTTGAAAAATCTAACATTATATTTATAGATCTAAATGGTCAAACGACATTGCCTGGTCAACTATATGGTGCCAGGGGCATTTGTAGGAGAGATTACCTTCAACAGCTGCTCCATAAACCCTGCCTATGTGTTAGACTGAATCGAAAGTCTCTGGGCACATTCTGCCAAGGCCACTGTGGTATCAAACAATAAACCTAACACTATCTGACACTTGACATTGGATACATGGGTCCTGGGCTGGCTACAGTTAGAGATGGCTGAAATGCCTGTGTGCTCACCCTTTTGCTTCCACATAGTAAGTCTAGCAGCAGCTTAATCGCACACTGTAGATCTTGCACCTATGGAAGTAATATATAAAAAAATGGGAAAAAGTTGGTGGTCTTTATAAAGCAGCATGTTAGAGTAAGTATGAATTTGTTTTTAGCTGGTTCAGTGTTAATTTGAAGGTTACTGCACATTTCTCAGTGTTTGTGTTGCATTATGAGTGCTGCAGCATGAGTGTTACATTATGGCATTGTGATTGCATGCATTATGTATTTGTCATTGTTATGCATTAGCAATGCAAAGTAGAGTATAGGACAATATATCATTGTTTAAATCACTTTTTGTCAAATACATTGTGAATGCTTCTCATGAAAGTGAATTCACAGGGAATCTTTGAACTATTAAGCTTTCACTCTAAAAATGCTGGGTTGTTTCAACCCAACTTTGGGTAAAATATGGACTAACCCAGCTTGTGGGTTAAAATTGTAATGTAAAAATTTAATCCAACGGTTGGGTTAGTCCATATTTGACCCAAAGTTGGGTTGAAACAAGCCAGCATTTTTTAGAGTGTAGAAATATTAAAATAGTCTTTTTGCTGGGAATTACGCTTATTTGAGTCTCATGTTTGTGTTTATTTTTGACTCTGTGGGGGTTTGTCTATCAGTCTCTGTTATATATCAGAATTCAAAAGAGAGCTATTTGTGTCGTTGTTGCTATGAGGGAAAGATAAACTCGTCAATGCCAGATGTATGACTAAGACATTATCAGGCAATGGGTCAAAAGTTCTGCACAGGCACACAAAACTGTCTGTTTCTTTTTTAGACATCAGTCTGTTGTGAAAGGAATAAATGCACTTCCCCCAGAGGATCGACTCCTGAAGTTCTTGGTGGACAGTTCAGCAGACAGTGAGGAAACCGTGCAGTGTGCTAACTGTGATTTGGAGTGCAAGAAACAGGTCTCATTATCACCATCACAACACTGAAACATGCACTTCATAAAGACTTTAACGGTTCCTTAAAGTCACAATGTAATGGAAATAGCGGAAGATTCTTTTGTCATATATTGTGATGCACCGAGTGAAACTAGTGAAATGTAGGGTGGGGATTTTATTCATGGGTTGATTGGATGGAGGCAGATCTGAATGTGTGCTGATATAGTAATAATATGATGAGTACTTTTACAGAATAAATATTTTGGAAAAAATGCAATTTCATAAATGTAGTTCTTGCAAAAGTTGTTTATACAGAATTTTTAAAGGAATACTTCACCCAAAAAGTTAAAATCGCTGACAGTTTACTCACCCTCAGGCCATCCAAGATGTAGATGAGTTTCTTTGTTATCGGAACAGTTTGGCTAAATTTAGCATGATGTCACTTGCTCACCAAGGGCTCCTTTGCAGTGAATGGGTGCCGTCAGAATGAGAGTCCAAACAAAAGTATCATAATAATCCATGCAACTCCAGACGATCAGTTAATGCCTTATGAAGTGAAAAACTGTGTTTGTAATAAATCCATCATTAAGGCCTTTTAACTTTGAATTGTCACTTCTTGCTAAAGTTCCAGTCCATAATTCATTATTACGCTTCGTCCAGGTAAAAAATCCACTAACATATTTGTTTAGAACTGTTTTGGACTGTTTTCACTTTCGGTGCTTGATCTGTGCATATTTCTCTCCTGATTCAGACAAGTCAACTTTATCATTGAGAAAGTAAAAATATTACAGAGGGGCTCACATTTTAGAAGCAACGGTTTGGAGTTAAAAACATAAATGATGAATTTGTTTATTACAAACATACAGATTTTTCACTTTACAAGACATAAATTGATGGGCTGGGGTCGTGCCAATTATTTGTGGATTATTGTGGTTTTTATCAGCTGTTTGGACTCTCATTCTGACGGCACCCATTCACTGCAGAGGATACATTGGTGAGCAAGTGATGTAATGCTGAATTTCTCCAAATCTTTTCCGATTAATAAATAAATTCATTTAAATCTTTGATGGCCTGAGGATGAGTACATTTCCAGCAAATTTTCTTGTTTGGATGAACTATTCCTTAAAGATCTTTTCTTCCATATTGTGATTTACGTAAGAGTGAAAAGGATTATACAACACATTGCTATATGAACAACCAGTCAATAACTACTTCTTTTAGGTATGTGTTTGATTCACTAAAAAGAACCATTGGAGTCAATCAAAGAGTCATTAGAATAATTTGTAAACAGCGGTTGCACGGTACCTTTCTGATTCACTAAAAAGAATTTGTTGAGAATCAGACTAAACTGGTCGAGCTGTAGATTCAGTAGCAGTGTCTGTGGCATGAAACTCTGTCACAGTGTTTAATTATGTTGCATTATTTAAAAAAAAGATTAGATTTTGTCTGGTTACGCATTTGAACCTTCTGTCACAAACCCCAGGATGTGGATGCAATGTATTATTGCAACACTTGTTGCCAGCCACTGTGTCGAGACTGCAGGGAAACCACCCACAAAGCCAAGATGTTTTCCTGCCACGAGATTGTCTCCTTGGCAAAGCGCACCAAAGAAGCCCACAAAAAATGTGGTGTGTGTTTTGAAAACCACTTCTCAAGTTTCCCCTGCAAAATAACAAGTCTTGAGATTCATGCCGTTTCTGTCTGATTGCAGCCCTCCATGAGGAACTCTACATCATGTTTTCTACAGAGAAAAAGTCCATGCTCTGCATCAACTGCTTCAGAGACATGCAAGTGTGAGTTATAAACTTAACTCACAGAGCATGAAATTAGCATATCACTCATACGATTTCAAAATAATCTGGGTTTATCGAATTCCATAGGGAGAGCAGAGCACACTGCATTGATATTGAGACAGCATATGTACAAGGCTGTGAAAAATTGGACCAAGCCGTCTTAGTGAGTTTCTCTTCCATCCTTTTCATCCAACAGTAATGTGTACTTTCATCTGTATCTGTATTGTGTGGAGCTGTGAAGCACCTATTGAAGTAATTTCCCTCTCCTCAGGCTGTTAAGGAGCTTCAGACGTCAGCGCGAGAAGCCATTATTCTGTTCAAAGCCATGATTGGAGAGGTCAGGGTCAACGTGGATGAAGAAGAGAGCGCCATCTGCACTCTGTTCAATAATATGCAGGTGTCATGCACAATTACATGATTCTGGCTACTCTTATACGATTTGGATTTTTTAAAAATTGTTTCATCATTTGAAATGTTTTGAAAGGGTGAAGTTTATACGAAATTATTAATAATAAAATTGGTGATTCACATATATTTCTTTCCTCAGGAAAGACTAGCAGAAAGAAAAAAGATTCTACTCAAGGCAGCACGAAGGTAAATAAAATATATATTACTTAAAAATAGAAAAATAAGACATTGTACATTAAAATCTGTTACGTGACTTTAAAAGCACTAACTGTACCATGATGCTTTTTGTCAGACAAAAAATATAGTGGAGTGAAATATTAAATATTAATTATTAGAGATACACAATATATTTGTGAAAATACCATATCAGTTATCAGCTGATATTATAGTTATTAGAGATGTCAGTATCTATATTGGAATATTTAAATATAATAATATTTTGAACATTTAAATATTACAATTTTAATATCTGCCATTTATCAATTAATATTTGCCATTTATCAACCATAAGATAATTATTGGTGTTGGAATTTTAATTTCAGTGCATCACTATTATAGCATATATACAGTATACAGGTGCATCACAATAAATTAGAATGTCGTGGAAAAGTTAATTTATTTCAGTAATTCAACTCAAATTGTGAAACTCGTGTATTAAATAAATTCAATGCACACAGACTGAAGTAGTTTAAGTCTTTGGTTCTTTTAATTGTGATGATTTTGGCTCACATTTAACAAAAACCCACCAATTCACTATCTCAACAAATTAGAATACTTCATAAGACCAATAAAAAAACATTTTTAGTGAATTGTTGGCCTTCTGGAAAGTATGTTCGTGTGTATATAGAATACTGCATATTAATATAATAATAATACATGTAATCTAAGTCCACACACAAACTGAACCAAAGATCTTAAGGAACACTAATCCTCTTTTGTGTTTTTATTTTCTAGTCAGCATGAGGACAAGGAGAGAGCCTTCAAAGAGCAGTTATCTCATCTTGCAGCACTCCTGCCAACTCTTCAGGTAAGCGCATTTTCTTCATGTCTTCATGCATCTTAATATTTTCACATATTCTTCTTGCTTTCAGACATGTTTCCATTGAATTCTCTCCAGGTTCATCTTGTCACATGTTCTGCCTTCCTAAGCTCAGCAAATAAGTTTGAGTTCTTAGACATGGGATATGTGAGTACAAACAAATAAAATATTTTTATTAAATAATAAAATAATTAGCTAGGGCATGGTACCAACAATAAGAATTATAATTGATATTTTCACCTCACACAGCAATTAATGGAGAGACTAAAGAAGATTGTGAAACTACCACACAGGCTGAGACCAGCACAGAGCAGTAAGGTTAGTTTACTAAATTCAAGTATGTTAAATAAGTCAATGCATAAGTTATATCTGCTGTAATCTATCTCCACAGATAAACACAGAGTATCGCTCCGAATTTGCTCGCTGCCTGGAGCCGCTCTTGCTGTTGGGGCAGCGGCGTTCAGTGTCCACTGCAGGGAGTGTGGCTTTAGGTCTGGGAAACGCCAGTGGATTGTGAGTCTGTTTATTCAAGCAAATTAAATATGCTTATTTAAACATTAAATCTTTTGATTATCTTCCTGCAGGATGCAATCATCTCTGTCAGTGCAGTGTCACTCTCCAGCCATGAGCGACATGTCACTGTGCTCCTCCGTGGTGCGCAGGCCGACCTCACACCGTTACATAAGCACCAAGGTCCTGCTGGCGGAGGGTGGAGAGACGCCTTTTATGGAGCACTGCTGCAACTACGAGAACAGCTACAGGGTGAGAATTTCTTATGCATTCATGGTTCAGTCCATGATATTTTATTTTTAGCCATTTTCTGGGCTAATATTCTTGCCAAGAGGAAATTTCAGGAAAATAAAATGAATGGTATTATATTATGTCCAACCACTAAATGCTTATTTACATAGAAAAAAGTTAAGCAATACTGTTCTGCAACTGACAAATTCTCCATGTCTGTTTAACTAGACTTTACAGACAGAAATCCAGAAGCTCAAAGACCAGGTGCAGGAGATTCACAGAGACTTGACCAAGCACCACTCACTCACCAAACCCGACACCATGAATGAGATTTTGGAGAGGTCTGTTCAGGTGGATAGACAGATCTCCGCAGAGTACTCCTCAGTCGAGCTCATGCGGGCCATGTTCGAGGAGGTGAGATGCCAATACTGACAGTAGGTGGAGGTAAAAAAAGAGACTTCATTGTGCAATTAATTTTGTTCTTAGATTTGGGAGGAGACGTTACAGAGGGTGGCAAATGAACAGGAGATATATGAAGGTGTGTAAGTATTTAAATGCTTAAGATTTATCTGCTCACTGCAGTTATATCTTAGTTACCATATTTAGTGATTTTTGATGGTCTTCATTTTTAGCACAACTTCATGACCTGCTTCAGTTAAAACAGGAGAACTCCTGTTTGACCACTATTTCCAGCCAAATAGGCCCCTACATTCGCTCCATAGCAAAAGTGAAAGAGCGTCTGGAGCCCAGGTACTGGAGCTTGATGTATCATTCACAACGCTTATAGAGTAACATAAATCATATATATACACAAAAGTTTGGTATCTGTTTTTGAAATAAGTCTCTTATGTTCACGATTAATTTGATAAAAAAAAAGTAAATATGAATGTTATTAATAGTAAGAAGTAAAATAGTACTATTTTGAAATATTACTACAATTTAAAATAATTTTCCATTTCAATATATTTTAAATTGGAATTTATTCCTGTGGTTGCAAAACTTAATTAACTGAAGTATATTCAAATAGAAAACTGTTCTTTTAAATATTTCACAATATTACTGTTTTACTGTATTTTTGATCAAATAAATGCAGCAATGATGAGCATAAATAATATTCTTCTTAAAATTTTGCCAATCTGATTTTGGACTCACCCATACTCATATATATATATATATATAATACTTCCATTATTGCTTTTTTTTTTTAGTCTGATTTGTTTTTTAACAGGCTGAAGGAGCCTAAAGAGCTCAAAGATGATCGCACAGAAATCATGCTGAAGCTGTATGAGGACAGTACCTCTACTGCGGACACACAGCCCAGGTAAGTTACCAGCAATTTCTCAAAGTATATAATGTAGACAGACACACAGTTATTAATTATAACGCATTAATGGCCATTCCATACTTCACCAATACAGTAATGAGCTGCCCTGTAACACTGAGGACAACTGGACTCTAAACAGCCAATCAGAAGAGACCAATCCCAAGAACAAAGATTACTACAGGCCAAACAAGCAGAAGAACACCACTGATACAGCCAATCGCAAAGAGATACCAATCTGAAACCGCTTTTGTGATTGTCAGTTTAGACATGTTACCCCAAAAAATAAGCATGTATGTATGTAAATCTAATTTACGGAAGCTGGAAAGAGAGAAAAACTACTAGTTTACAGTGCTTGTATTTTAGAGAATCACAGTAATGTCAAGTAAACATTATAATCAGTGTTTATTTTAAAGGTTTGTTACATTTTGCTGAAGAGGTTAATCATGTAAGTGGTACAATTATCATCCAAGAGGTTGGGTGGTCCTCTCCTATTAGCTTTTTGCACAAGCGTAGTGCAACTCTTACATCATAAAAACCTATTGCATTTGTTCAAATGTCCATTACCTGTACGCATACAATATAGTGCTCGTCATTGGTTAAAAGTGTGCATGAAATTCCTATTCTTTACCCAATGTCTATATAAGCTACATCATGCCAGGAGAAGAGTGGAGCCTTCCTCCCAGAAATGTAAAATCGGAAAGATTAAGACTTTGGATACAGCATAACCCCTCCGGCATTCGGCCTTCTGAATCCCACCTTCGTAGAAACCGATTTTCTTGTTGAATTATCATGCAAGTGTGAAGGGAAGTGACAAGACGTGGATATGGTATTGAGTGAGTGAGTGTGGGAGTGAAGACGAAAAGACACTAATGCATTTGACAGGACATATGCATAACTGAAGGACTAGAAAGACCAATGGGGAACATGTAATCAAAAGAAGAATTAAGCCTGTAATTTATCACACGTTTATTTTTCTAACCATAATATTAAAATTGTCCAACAGCATTAACAAATCACAGATATTTAGAGATTGTCAGAAATTAGTTTTAAAATGTGTATGCCTGAGAATCTGCTCTGGCTGATCGTAAAAATATATATTTCTGAGACACGATAAACTAATTTTTACACAAAACAAACAATGTCTAAATGGCCACTGCAGTAAATATATCTTAAGTCCAATTTAAAGCCTATCTGAATAAAAATACCTCAAGAGATTTAAAAATCTACTGAAAAACTCTGGATGTTCGTAAGTAGTAACAAACCAATGTCTTGAATCTCATTTCTAAGGTTTCTAACCACAAAACCAGGGGATTTAAAAAAAGAAAGACAGACAGACAAGAAAAAAGAAACCAGCATATGAAATTACATGGTGCAAAGACTGTAAATATGAGGATATCTGAGTAGGAGTAAGACAAAGTGTAATAACAGAAATGTGATGAAGTGTAGGTGACAAGACAGATGCTGACGAATGTGGTTTGTGTACTAGCATCTCCGATGGTGTTGAGGGTGGAAGCTCCACCCTGCTCAGAGCAGACCGATGTGTCTCAGAGCAGATCAGCGAGTCAGTTTTACTGTGCTGCCACCTCATATATCTGTGCCGCCCCCAGGGGTCGCGACATGATGCCACCAGGCAACTAGCTCGCTCAGAGTGCCAGTCAGAGGTGTCCAGGTGTGCACTTTCAGGCTATTTCCTCCATTCTATGCAGTACGGCTTTAGGAATTAACCCTGATCCCTGAGATGAAGGGCAAGCCAGTGAAGACCACCTTCTTGTACTCAATGTAGTCCTCTCCAAAGAAATGGATGAGCGAGATCTCCTCTTCCTCAATACGCTCTCGAAAGAAGCGCCAGCTGGCGATCGTATATCCCAGTAGACATATTGGGTTGCACAGCATTATCTGGAGAAAAAAATAGGTTTAAAACAAAACATTTAAGACAAAACATATCTTTTAGACTCTGCCAGTCAAAAGTTTGGAATAATTATGATTTTTGTGTCTTATGCTCACCAAGCCTGTATTTATTTAATAAAAAAAAAAAGAGAGAAACAGTAATGTTGAAAAATGTGAAATTTCATTGGTGTCACTTTTTGGAAACTGTAATACACATCATTCAAAAGTATGATTTAAAATTTTTTATCAGGAGGGACACATTCAATTTATCAAACATAACAGTAAGGAAATGCAGTTCTTTTGAGCTTACTATTCATCAAGTTTTCCACAGAAAGATTTTTCAACATTGACAATAAGCACCACATCAGTCATACTCTAATATGACCAGACTGTCATATTAGAGTATGAATATCATGAGACACTGAAGACTGGATTAATGGCTGCTGAAAATTCAGCTTTGCCAGCATAGGAATAAATTACCTTTTAAAATGTATTTAAATAAGGAACAGTAATTTTAAATCATAATAAAATTTCACACTATAACTGATTTTACTGTAATTTTTATCAAATTAATACAGCCTTGGTGAACACAAGAGACTTCTTAAAAAAATATTTTGGTAGTGTGAATTTTAGGGACACAAAAAAATAATCAAACAAAACGTAAATATATATTTAAAAGTAAAAGATAATAACAACAATAATTATTACTAGTATTATTTGTATTAATATTATTATACTAAAACAAATTGTTTGTAAAGTTGCTTTAGAAAAAATGTACTGTGAAATACTATAAATATAAATTCCATTTAAAGTACCTGAGTGCCAATGCTCCAGTAAAACCAGCCCACATAGGAAGGATGTCTGAAGAGAGCGTAAACTCCAGTGGTGACCAGCACGTGGCTCTGGGCCTTCATGAAAATTCAGCTTTGCCAGCATAGGAATAAATTACCTTTTAAAATGTATTTAAATAAGAAACAGTCATTTTAAATCATAATAAAATTTCACACTATAACTGATTTTACTGTAATTTTTATCAAATTAATACAGCCTTGGTGAACACAAGAGACTTCTTAAAAAAATATTTTGGTAGTGTGAATTTTAGGGACACAAAAAAATAATCAAACAAAACGTAAATATATATTTAAAAGTAAAAGATAATAACAACAATAATTATTACTAGTATTATTTGTATTAATATTATTATACTAAAACAAATTGTTTGTAAAGTTGCTTTAGAAAAAATGTACTGTGAAATACTATAAATATAAATTCCATTTAAAGTACCTGAGTGCCAATGCTCCAGTAAAACCAGCCCACATAGGAAGGATGTCTGAAGAGAGCGTAAACTCCAGTGGTGACCAGCACGTGGCTCTGGGCCTTCTCATTCTGTACTATGTGGTTGAAGTTGGATCCTGCTGTCAACATGGCAGCTTTGCGCAAACTCTCCCCACAGAGAACCATCACCAGACCCACCAGACAGAGCCAGTCCATCTGCTTCATCTCTGTGGGGAAATAAAAACAGACAGTGATTTCAATAATGAGAAAAAAAATAGTTCATGAATAATAATAATACTGTAAACTTTAGAATAATTTCACTTCAATCACTCTTAAAAAAATAAAAATAAAAAGTAGCTTTGGCAGTATGTTATATTATTTTATATTACATTACTATGTATCAGGTTTAAAAAAGCAAAATCAAACTCTGGCTGCTAATCTCTGGCCTAGATTGTATCAAACCTGGAATAAGGAGCTTTTCCACAGTGAACTCTATCCAGGAGGAAATAGCTGCTACTGTGTACTCAACACTATGGTTGAGCAGGAAGGAGTCTAGAGACAGACTGCGTGGGTTGATGATGGCAGTAACCAAGTACTCAGAGTAGTGAAAAAATGACAGCGAACACATATACCTAGTGAAACAAAACAGTCAATACGGAGCGATGTTATTATTCCATAATTCATAAAAACTCATTCACTTCTAAGACCATTTAGAATTATCTTCAGTCCTTATATACAAACCCGATTCCAAAAAAGTTGGGACACTGTACAAAGTGTCCCAACTTTTTTGGAATTGGGTTTGTATGTTAAATGTGTAAATGAACCTCAAATAGACCTAACCCATTTCACAAAAGTTTAATTACCAGCCAAAATGTGTCCATGTTGTATCTGCAAAACTTAAAATGAGACCACATCCAAAGGCAAATCCAAGAAAGCAGGCTCGAACAGCCACCTGATTAAGCAAAGAGGAAGGAAATTGTGAGCCAGTTCCTGATTCTGCAAACCCTCATACAGTAAGCTGTCTTCCTGGAGAGCTTATTTATATTGAGAGAAACCTATACGAGATCCCATTAGAGAGCTAATGTAATAGGATTATACCTGTACACAGGACATTACCAGTGATAGAGTCCTGTAGCCTTTGCAAGTACACATCTAGATATCTTTATTCATTTAAAACGTGTATATAGCACCACAGTGGTTCAGTTACACAGTAATTTCATATGTGCTCTATCTGTACAACACACATCAGATTCACACTGTCTCTCTGAGTCTTACCTTGTATAAAGGTCCCTTGTATATGACTAGCAGAAAGCCATTGATAACTGTAATATACGCCGCAATGGCTATTTTCCCGTTCACGTCCGTGAGGTAATCGAATACCCAGTCAATGTGAGCGCCGAAATTTACAAGTAAGGGTATTATATTGACGCCCAGTCCTGAGATAAAGCTAATAATACTTATCCTCCCTTCTAGCACCAACTTGCTGCCTGCCATGTTGAAAACAGAAAGATCTCGCGGAGAAATCTCGCGTGACTTCAGAGCTCACGCTTACTTGCTTACTAATTTTTTTGACAGTTTTTTCAGGCTCATTGAACTGTAGTTAAACATTCATTTATCCTGATGTGCGAATTTAATTATAAACGATTCAATTATCCAATTATTATTATTATTAGTAGTAGTAGTATTCTAAAAAATTCTAAAAACGAAATAATAATAGATATAATGACTATAACACTAATTTGTGGTATAATAATATTAACATTTAATATATTTATTTAAAACCATACAAATTGTCAAAACGTATACACATTATTGTTTCCTTACCAAGAAACCGATTGTGCCAAGATGTTAATGATACTAAAATATTACTATAATTACACAATGCATTTTAATGAAAGTATTTTTATCATGTATATTTTACAATTTACTAATAAAGCAATAAAACCAAAATGATGATTCACTCAAGATGTGGGAAAAGGTCCTGTTTATAATCAGCAACCCATATACACTTGATAAAATAAAGAATGAAGTATTAATCTACAGCTGTAATATGTGGAATTTAGATGGTGATGGTGGAGGTGAATACCACAAAACATAATGCCAGTGTCAAATCAGCAAAGCACAATATTTATCCTATAATAACAACTGCATGGCTCTCAATGAGCATGATGAAAAGCATTATTTGTAGCACAAAGCAGTTGTAGAGTAATTCAGATTCGAGCTGAAAGGAAGATTTAATGGTTTAATAATGTGAGATGGAGATCTCCCCTGTGTCCTTCTTTGTGTGTCCATTCCAAAGCTGCTCGTCTGATTGGAAGCTGGGGACCTGGCAGACGTTGCAGTTGCAACATTAAATAGACTGTCTTTGCATGCTCAAGTCAAGTTGATCTATAACTCAACACTCAACCACATGAACACAAAATACTAATTACTTATGTCTTCATGCCTGAACTTTCAATGAATACAATTTTTTTGTTTGTTTCACAATGACATGTCTCTCAATCTTAATATCACACATATACACAGAGTAGCCCAATTTTCATTCATTTGAATCAACTGGCCTTGCAGGTATACATAATATTGTAGCGTTCTCAGACAAGGACGAGGCATTTTGACGTACAAGGGGTGTTTATTTGGGCTGTTGTTGGCCACAACCCACGCCGTACACACCCCAACTTCTAAGAGAACCGCACTTGAACCAGCAAGGCACTCATTCTCCCCCCTCCTTCTCTCTCACACAGGGGCGGAGCCTCTTTTCACATCCAACTCGAACATCCAATAACAGTTCACAACACAAAAATGAATACAGTGCAACACTAACATTAAGCACATTGTTATCTATAACACAACATGCTTGAACATGCTACACTATGTTCTCCTGCAAATATCATCATCAGTATTATGCATTCCTAAAATATTGCTGTTTTACAAATTTCGTAAACAATTATATCTAAGAAAGCAATCACAGGATATACATGAACATTGGCAAGGATGAATATAAAATGTTCCAAAACAGTGGAAATATAATCATATGCATTTGGAAAGGAAAATATGACAAATTCTCCTGCCTTGTTTAAACCATAATGAACATGCCACGGTTTAAGCTTATACCCTCAGGATCAACACACTGTCCCTTTTTGCGTGTGATGCGGTAATGCCTGTGTAATTTAGCATAGCACCGAAGCCCTGTAAAAACAGGGAAGGAACATTTTAAATATGGTTTCTTCTTTGTCAGCATGAGTAACAATCAGTGCCAAACACTTGCTCACCTTCCTCACACATGCAGCTATCATAGCACTTGTTGTTGAAGCCGCGGTTGTGAAGCTCACATACATGTGTCCTGAGGTTGCAGCAAGACCCTGAGAAAGTTCATGAAAAAGAGGTAAAAATGGTGTCAGCGTTTATTTGACTCAATCAAATTACATTGAATTATACTACTTTTCAAAATGTTTGGGTTCGGTAATATTTGTAATGTTTTTGAATGAAGTCTCTTACGCTCACCAAGGCTGAATTTATTTGATTAAAAATACAATAAAAACAGTAATATTGTGAAATATTATTACAATTTCTATTTGAATATATTTTAAAGGATAATATATTCCTGTGAACAAGGCTGAATTTTCAGCATCATTACTGCGGTCTTCAGTGTCACATGATCCTTCGGAAATCATTCTAATGTGATGGTGCTCAAGAAACATTATTTGATTAATAGGACGTTAAAGGGAACAGCATTTATTTGAAATAGAAATCTTTTGTATCATTATAAATGTCTTTACTGTCACTTTTGATCAGTTTAATACGTTCTTGCTGAATAAAGTATTATTAAAATTCTGAGTGGTAATATATTGCATTATAATTACTGAAATTACAAAGAGAACAGATACAATATAGTATAAGGGGCTCATTGTATTAAAGCATGTGGGAAAAGTCACCTGGCAGACAATCTAGGTGATGTTTGCAGCTCTTATCTGATGTAAGTGTCACAAGTTCAGTGCTGGGGCTTTTTGTGGCCTGTTTGTCTGAACCTGGATAGAAATAGAGCAATTGTGTTATGGGTATAGTAATTCACCAACACCTCACAACAGACACCAGAAGTTAAAACATCTTAATAACAATTACTCCATTTCATTTTTGAATATTAAAAACATTTGGCATTTTCCATGCAGGGACTAATGAGGTATGTGGAAATATTTGCCTAATAGTCCTAAATGGTTCATTCCTGTGGTCCCACATGTAAAGCAATACATATTATTCTGATGAACGGTGTAGCATATATTGCAAAACAACATGCACAAATTATCTCAAGTCACCACTTCAAAACAAGAACACTTAAAAACTGAAACTCCCAACATTAATAGCAGAAACAATATGTCTGAAATATTGATCTACCTCGCTTCTTAGAAAATTGCTTTTTGTGTGGAGGCCTCATATCTTCATAATCAGTCCAGTCAAAGAATGCCATGTCGAAAGTGGGCGTCACATCTCCACCTGAATAACTTCTGACCTGAGGTACAAAACAACATATTCAGTATTCATGTCCCTATATGAAGTGTTGAAATTACACTTTTTCATGTGACCGTAAATCACTTCAATTGCTAATCCTCTGAGGTTCGATGAAACAAATTATGGTGGTATGTGTTATACCTTTTGAGCCAATAAACAAGAAATTGTTTCATGTGTGGATTTAATTGATGGCATGAACCTATTATCCCTCATAATGTAGGTCACTGGGATTCAATTTTATTAAGCCTGTTTCTAGACACTGATAGATGAGAAGAGAAGCTGAGATATTTTTTAATCAGTGTGATTAAAAAAAACTGAACAGCTAGACAATGGTTACCTGTGGTTTTCTGGAGGGGGGTGGCTTTGTGGCGGGCTCCCCACCGACTGCTGCAGTTACGGGCAATATGAAGGAGCCAACGGTGGCTGCAGGGAACACTGGCTCTGTGGGACTCCCAAAGGAGTATTTATTGAGCCTTTGATCAAAAGAAACCCTCCGTTTCTTCCCTAATGCCAAAGACACTATGCAAAGAAAATGCCAAGTAGATAATTAAGAAATGGCAGGACATTTATAAAGGAGTTTTACTTTGCAAAGTTACTTTGAGGATTCCTTTTTACCTTCATCATGAGTCCTAACGATGTGCCCTCCAAACATATTGCGACCAGTGGGACGTCTCACTGCCTTCTCTGGAGTCTCAGCACCAAGAGAAATATTCATTTGCTCTGGAATTAAAGAATCAAACCCCTTGGAGTTTCTCTTTTTCGGAGTGATTATCCGTCTTTTATCTGGCTCCATCTCTAAGCGGACGGGACTGAGGCCCTCCAGGTCTGGCCCTTCATTTTGGGTGTGGACCACAGTAATGTGGGGCCTCTCTCTGAGCTGGCCTGCTGCCATCCTCTCCTTGTGATCTCTGTGCTTCCTGTGATGACTGTGTTGATGTATGGATGCCTCTGGCCTGGGCGGGATAATGACATTGTCTCTGAAGACTTCCATGGCTGAATTGTGGCCTGTTTCAGTGCTCAGTGTCATGGTCACCAAGTCAAGGAGGAGAAACGAGCCGAAATACCAACATAAAGCCACCATTCTAGGATTCGAAAAGATTAAACAAATAATACAGCATTAAACAATAATGAATCACTATATACTATCATTCAAAACTTTTGGGTGAGTAGGATTTTTTTTTTTGGAATGAATTATTTTTTTTATTTAACAAGGATGCATTATTGGACTGATTACAAGTGACAGTAAAGACATTTATAATGTTATTTATGTCTATGTCAAATAAATGTGTTCTTTTGAACTTTCTATTCATCAAAGAATCCTGGAAAAAAATTAAGAAGCACAAGAGTCAAAACTGATCAAAATACGACATGTTTTTTGAGCATCAAATCAGCATTTTAAAATGATTTCTGAATGATCATGTAACACTGGAGTAATGACTGCTGAGAATTCAGCTTTTGCCTTCACAGAAATAAATTATTTTATAGATATATACAGATTAATATGATGATGGCCTGATAAAATGCAGTGAACTAGGAGACTGTAATATAATGCCAGTCTCCAAAAATCTGTTCTTATTTTAAGCAATGTGTCACAGTACAAAAAAGAAATTCATTTAGATTGAGTTACTGGCTTTGAGACAGCTAAATGCAGATGGGCAGAAAATTCCCTCTATTCACACAACATCAGATCTTCAAAAAACCACCTGGTCTCACCACAAGCTTGTATAGGACTCGACGCACACCGAAAAGGAAAAAGAATGTCTTGAAATAAACCAAAGCAAAACAGCTTGACAGACCATTTGATGTTATGTTGCTCTTCTTTTTGTGAACATTTGCAGTGCTTTGGGAGTCGCGCCCGGCTCTACATTGGGTCTTTGATCTTGACACCAGTGGACAGCACTGAATATATGTTGTGCAAAGATTCTTCATAAGCAATGGTGTCTGGGGGAGTTTAGAAGTGTTATATTCCCTATCTGACTTATTACAATATAATACTCAAACAGACATGTAAGCGCATTCGCTCTAACTGTAATTTTTCTAAGCATCTTAGAGATGAGG